CAGCTATATGTGATCCTGGTGGAACTCAGTAAGGATCTCAGGGTAGATCCCAGGGGGTTTGTTGTTTATTTCTTGTTTGGGTGGGTGGGCTTGGTTTTGGGGTGTTTGTTTTGTTGTTTTTTTTTATGGGCTGGGAACAGCTGCTGCCAAGGAGGAATAAAATTGTCAAATGCTAATGAGGCCACATTGGCTGTCAGAGGCAGCTGGTGATCTCCAGAGCCAGGGCATGGGTCCTGCTGTGAAGGGTTTGTGAATGCAGTTCTCAACCGTCACTGGGCTGGACAGGAAATCAACATCTGCACGTTCACTGTGGTTTTCCTTGCCACCTCTGGCTGACCACACCACCTTGTTCTGTGACTAAGCTATTATGTGTTTGAAATGACAGGCTTCTCTTTCTCGGCTGTTTAAGCAATAGGTCCCATTATCTCATAACCACTATATCTCATTTCTTCCCTTTTGTTACAGACACAAAAGAAAATCTTGCTCTGCTGCTTTCAGTTCTTCCTCTCAGCTGCTTTGGCTCCTTCCCTGCTTGGATTCTTTCCTGCCTCGGGTCAGAGTCCTGTGCCACTTCTGCTGAACCCGGTGCTGCTGTCTACTTGTTGGGGTTCACGGTGAGCAAGATAACAAAGCACCTTGTTCACTGGAAGAGGACCATATTGAGCACCCTAATGCCTGGCCAGAGCTGTTAGAAGCAGATTTTGAAACCTGCTCTCGATGTGAATGTCTCTCTCATGAGCTGTTGGCACCAGCATGTGGCTTTACGTATGCCACAAATGCTTCTAGCGAAGAGAGAAAATGAAAAGCATCACCCTCATCTGGGAAACTGAACTGTTAATAAAAAAGCCACAAGTAATAAAGAGATGACACTAAGATGTCAGTGCTAACTGCAAGGCTGGGTGAATTCCAGTGTCTTCCACGCTCCTTGGAGTCTTCAGTGGATAGAGATCCTGCTGCCTTTGGAGGCATTCCTCATGAGCCTCTGTTCCAATGTTCAGTCAAAAATCCATAGTTTTTTTGCACAGACTCCTTCAGCTTTGGCTGCCGGTTAGTGGCTCCCTGGGAGGGTTTTTTCCCTGAAACGTAAGAGCTCTCTGCTGCTGGAAATCATCCCCCTCTGACAGGTTTTTAACACAGTCTGTCCCTCCCTGCCCATCTGCTCTTGAATGGACTGAGTTGAACATTTTTGCTGTCCAGCAGTTATTGCAACTTTTGCTTGAGCCCCTCTGAAGCTGAACACAACCATGCAATGTGGGTTCTGGGCTGTTTCTACTTGTCTAGTGCTAAATGTGAGTTTGTGCCTATGGAAGCCCGTGGGCTTTCCCTGCTGGAAGCTTGTGTACAGCTGGTATCCTCTCTATCAGTTTCAGAACTGTGTTTTCTTTCCAGGATATTATTCTCCACCTAAAGTTTTATCTGTAGTCTTTGTTTCTAGACTTGTTTCCTTCTTATAAAATTCTCTGTCCTCATGGTTACTCAGGGTCTCTTACCAGTTATTTTAATCTGCAAATATTGCTGGTGTAATATGTTGCCCAGTTTTTTCCAGATCTTTGGTAAAGGTGTTGAAGTAGCATTGTGCTGAGGACAATCCTGGTGGAAAATCAGAAGCTTTGTCCTACATGGTGCTCCGTTACTCTTTCCAGTGTACCAACCAGTGAGCATCAGTGGGTCCCATCTCTTCTGCCCGCTGTGGCTAATCCTCACTGGGCTTGCAGTAGCTGCCTCTCCTGGGTCTGATGGCACAGTTTAGCCTGGGACTGCAAAAGGTTGCCAAGGCTGTTAATATCTTGGGTTAATGTTTTGAATCCTGGTTTTTGAATGCAAATGATTCTCAACTTCTTCAGTTGTTCTTGGGTGCAATTTACGTAGCCCTATGGGTTTTTAACAGTTGCTTTTTAGCATTTCCACTAGTCACTGGTGTAATAGGAAATATTTGTTAATCACTTTCAGACACATATCTGACTGCCCAGAAACCAATGAGAGTCTCTCATACACCAGTGGTTCACACTTCAGTTTTTTGGTTGTTTATAGTATTATTTTCTGTTGAGTATTAGATCTCCATCATTGTTCAAGTCCTTTTCTTTGGTGTCTTTCAAGCAGGTCATCCTTTTGTCCTTAAATCTGCTGATAGAAACATCTAGCTGCTGGCTGATTCTCTTTGCTGTCAACATAAACTTGGTGTGTGTTGTTAATAACAGCTTCTGCCTCTCTGGGAGTGAGATAGCGATGGTAGGAGTTCTGAGCAAATCTTTTTTTGTTGTCTAACTGTTGCTTGTCTTTTGCTGTTCTTGGCAAAGGGGATTGATTCTCTAATAAGGGGATATGGAATATTTCCACTTGGAAATATTCCCTCCTGTTCAAATGACATGAGGCTGCTGAAAACAATGTGTGTATCTTGCAGGCTGAGTGAAGAGAGGATAGGGAGGCACGTAGACAAATCTGACCACCCCCTTTGTCCTTCTTGTGTCCTCCTTTCCTGCCCAGCTGTCCTTGCCCCATGTTTTAGGAAAGGTCAGGCTTGTCTAAATTCTGTCTCTAGGTTCTCTAGCAAAATAGATTCCTGTGACTTAAGTATCTACCTACAGCAAATTGTCTCACAATTATTTCAATAGCCTTGTTAATGTTGCATGTGGCTTGAGCAATAGGAAGTCAGCAGAACAGAGCTTGTAGGTGCCATGACACACTGCAAAGCCACAGCTCTGCCTGCCCTGTCTTCCAGCACATATCATCTTGGTGATCTCTGAAGATGGTGACAGGGGAAACAGTGTGACAGCAGGACCTGCACAGTAGAGTGTGCTAGGAAGGGAGAAGTCTCTAAAAGTATCCTATGCACCAAAAGATGGTCATTTGATGGTAATTAGTCCCAATCTTTGGCTTGCCACAGCATGTGGTATTAGCAGGCTATTGATCTACCCATCCAAAAGAGAGGATGCAGCAGCTGTGGCTGAAATGGCTTTCATTGTTTTAGTCATCCCTGCCTTCTCGCCCACCCATCAAAAAAGGCATCCTTGTGAAAAAAGGAAGCAGTGGGTGAGAAATAAGTGCTCTTCTGACATTTAAGGGAGACTGCTACTGTACCTTCAATCCCACCAAGATAAACTATCTGCATTAAGCAGTCAGTGTCAGGAAGAACTTGACAGCAGATCTCCAGGCAAAGCTGTGTGGTCAATGACTTCTGGCATGCTGGTCAGCAATGCCTCCAGATGACAAAGTCCTGAGCTTCAGTCTCTGCTCTTGGCCATCACTGTATTTTACAACAGTTGAATGGGCCACAGAGGGCATTAAAGAAACAGGAACTCTGATGCCCATGTCCGTGTTGGAAAGAGTCGTGGGCACCTGGTGCTCATTGCTCTGATAGCAAGGGAGTGCAGGCACTGCCCACTGAGTGAGGTGCCTCAGTGGCTGGTGAGTTCCCTCACATGTGGCTCAGGCAGTGGTGCTGGGGAGCTGCACAGGTAGGGTAGTGGAGAGTGTCCTGGCAGGAGAGATGCTTCCCCAGCCATCCTGCTGTCTCTCTGGGCTCCCTGTGCCATGGAGGCATCTCTTTTTCCCCATACCCAGCACTGGATAGCAGGCTGGGGTTCACCATGTGGTATGGGAGGTGCAGGGCTAAGCCCAGACCTTTTTGTGATCTCTTGTCATGACTGTGGGAGTGGATGAGGATCTTGGGCCATCTGGGGTGTGCTGTTCTAAGGTGCAGAATGAGGGTAGGCATGACCAGGGTTGAACTGCTGAAGCTGGAATTATGTTGCTTTTGTGTCTTTTATGTCAGAAACCTAGAAGTATGAGGATGAGCCAGGTGGATTGCTGAAACCTCTTGTGCTGCAGATCACTCTGCAACAAACAGCTGTGGTGAACATCTTCAAAAAGCAGTGTGGTGTCTGGTGGTGCAGGCAAGGCTTTGAGGACACGTCTGACTTACTGGTGTGGTTGGAGGCAAAGCTGAGCCCCTGTTTGGAGAAAAAAAAAAGCATATTTATGTTGTTAAAGCATGTTGTTTTCAGACCACAGTTTTGATGTTCAAGATTAAAGGCTGTGTGTCCTGCCACAGAAGAGACAAATCTCCAGGTTCTTCTTGTAGTGTTTCTGTTTTTATGTGCTATCCCAAATACACACTTCAACATAAGTGCAAGAATTGAAAGAGCAAACTGCTGTTTGTAATCCCTTGTGTGCGCCTGTAATTCTGTGGGAAAGTCTCATTGCTGCCCCTTAGAAATCTGCAGTCAATAAGGAATGAAAATTGAGAAACTGGAAATTGAGGAATGGAAATGTCCCTGTCTTGCCCTGTCTCATGAAGATTTTGTAATGAGCTCTTGTAACTGCTTGTGCTTGCAGCATGGCTTGAATTCTCAATCTTTTCTTGGAAGGCAAAAGAAGTTCTATCAAGATAAGTAGCCTAGTGTCTACCCTCGGCTTTACTCTTAAGTTACTCAGCCAGGTTAGGTCCCGCTGCAATGCTCAACGCTGACCTGAAGAGATGATAAAAAAAGCCTTCCCTATCTGAGACTTCTTCAGATTAGAAGAGGACTGTGGGATTTGAGATACTATTTGCAAAGGTAAGAGGGGCAGCAGAAGCTGCCAGAAGAGCCTGCTTGTGCCCTGAGACATGGTATGTTTCCCCATTACAGTACACCACTGTTTCAGCTTGGCTAGTGTCCTGCAGTGATTTGGTGTGGCTGAAGGTAGTCCACTGTGCTTGCTCTAAGTGGGCTGTTAATGGGGTAGCTCTGCTGTGGCTGCAGCGCTGACATCTTCCTGTTTTCTGATAGACCGGTTTTTAACAGTGGGATGGTGTCTGTGGCCGGTGTTTTGTGACTCACAATCTGTGCCCTATGGAGCAGCCAAGGAAAAGGCAGGATGTACAACGGAGAGGAGCAAGTAATTTGTCCTGTATGAACTAAGCAATTCCCCAGCACCCATAGATGCATTTGGGATTAGGTCTTAATCTTTCTGCTGAGGAGTCCTCAACTCTGCCTCTCCCCTCTTGTGCAGGGTGCTCTGCTTGTCATCCAGGACACTGCGGTGGAAAAACAGGTGTCTCTTCCCGAGTGGGCTGCTGGAAAGGGTGGTTGGCTGGTGGATGTGCGCTGTGCTGATTACTCAGCCCCCAGTTAGCAGCGTGGCCCTTGCATGTGAGTGCATGTACTTCCCGAGCATGGTTTTGCGTGAGCATCTGCCGCCGGGCTGGTGCTGCTGCCTCGCTGTGGGAGGAGCAGGCGGGTACCCTGAACTTGCAGCTGAGGGCGGAAACGCTTTGGGGTTGATGCTTGAGGCTTTTGTAGAGTTGCAGCATCTGAGCTGGGTGCTCTCTGCTGGAGTGATGCAGGCGTATAAAGGTAGATCTGTGTCTTCCCCCAAGGCTCAGTCTGGGACAGCCCCAGCAGTTTTTGGCTGCCACATGGAAGATCACGCTAAGCACGTCCAGTCCATCCCGCTCCCGGCCATGCAGCAGAACTTGAACTACGTGTATCCTCAGATCTTTTGGGTGGATGGCTGTGCCAGTGCAAATACTTCCTGCCCTCCAGCACCCCCCGTCGCTCCTTTCCCACCACCAGTACCTGACCGGAGCAGAAAGCCAAGGAACAACAGGGAAAGGAGGAGCACTGGCTTTCTGGTGATCTCCTTGCTGCTCCTGCTGGCCCTCACTGGAGTGGGGCTGAGCATGTTTCAGATATTCCACCTGGAGAAGGAACTGGCTGAACTCAGAGAGGTGAGGTCTGCAGAGGCTTTGGGGAAACAGGAAAAAAACCCTGAAAATTGGCTCTGAGGTGCTCAAGTGTTGCAAAGATCCCCAAGGGACATTTAAATGTTTGCCATGTAAGTGGGGGTGCTTATTACTGCAAGAGGACTGATGGGTCTATTTGGATGTCTTTGAGTGCAGCAAGGTCTTTCGTATGAGCACGGAGAATTAACCATTGTCAAAGACAGTCCTTGGCTGCTTAGGTGATGCCCCTGTGTTCTCACTCTGCTAAGACAGCTTGTGACTCTTCTCTTTTGACAGTCTGCCAGCAGTGAGCACATCCCTCCAGCTTTGGAAAAACTCATAGGTGAGTTAATGTACATAGAGGAGGAACTCCTCTGTGACAGCATGTGTGAATGATCCTGTTGAACTCTTCCCTCTCCTTGCCTGGGGTAAAGGCAGGGTCACAGCTTGATGCTATGAAAGTGCTGATTTCACTTGCTTGGCTGAAAAAAGATCTTTCTTTTTGTGATGGTGGGGATGTTGTCCTGTACTCTACCTGCTGTAGTGCTTAGAGGTGTCAGCAACAGCTTTCTGGGACAGTGTGCCTCCACCTTGGGACTCCCCAGGCCAGTGGGGCAGCGGTACTGGAGATGCTCTGCTGTAGAAGTGGTTTCTGGCTGTCCTAATCTATAGCAACAACATGAATAGACGGACAACAGCGATGGGCACTGCACATCTTAATTCTTTCTCTTCTAACTTGTTTAATATTTTTGGATGATGCAAAGGATTTAGTTTTCTTTGGGGTAGGGAATCCATTTTTTTTATTTTTTTTTCTAAACCCTTTTGGTACAAATTCTCACTGCAGCCAAAGCTAATTGAGAAAAGCCTGATTATATGTCTGGGGAGGTGTCTTTTATAAATGTCATTTTCACTGAAATAGCTTCTCACAAGAAACTGCCAATTTTTCTAAATTTAATTTAGAATCACAGAATCATAGAATGCTTAGGGTTGGAAAGGACCTTGAGGTCATCTAGTTCCAACCCCCCTTCCATGGGCAGGGATGACTTGCACTAGACCATGTAGCCCAAGATGGCCATCCCAAGGCCACCCGACAGAGATGGAGCATTCACAACCTCCCTGGGCAACCTGTGCCAATGCCTCACCACCCTCACAGTACAGAATTTCTTCCTTGTGTCTAACCCGAACTTCCCTTGTTTAAGTGTAAACCCATTATCTCTTGTCCTGTTGATACAGTCCCTGATGAAGAGTCCCTCCCCAGCACCCCTATAGGCCCCCTTCAGGTACTGGAAGGCTGCTATAAGGTCTCCACGCAGCCTTCTCTTCTCCAGGCTGAACAGCCCCAACTTTCTCAGCCTGTCTTCGTATGGGAGGTGTTCCAGTTCCCTGATCATCCTTGTGGCCCTTCTCTGGACTTGTTCCAATAGTTCCATGTCCTTTTTATGTTGAGGACACCAGAACTGCACACAATACTCCAGGTGAGGTCTCACGAGAGCAGAGTAGAGGGGCAGGATCACCTCCCTCAACCTGCTGGTCACGTTCCTTTTGATGCAGCCCAGGATACAGTTGGCTTTCTGGGCTGCAAACGCACACTGCCGGTCTATGTTCATTTTCTCATCAACCAACACACCCAAGTCCTTCTCCACAGGGCTGCTCTGAATCTCTTCTCTGCCCAACCTGTAGCTGTGCCTGGGATTGCTCCAACCCAGGTGTAGGACCTTGCACTTGCCAACATCATGAAGTTTAACCATGCCATCAGCCCACCTCACAAGCGTGTCGAGGTCCCTCTGTATGGCATTCCTTCCCTCCAGCATATCAACTGAACCACACAGCTTGGTGTCATCGGCAAACTTGCTGAGGGTGCACTCAATCCCACTGTCCATGTCACCAATGAATATGTTGAACAAGACCGGTCCCAACACCGATCCCTGAGGGACACCACTCGTTACTGGTCTCCAGCCGGACATTGAGCCGTTGACCACAACTCTTTGCGTGCGGCCATCCAGCCAGTTCTTTATCCACCAAGTGGTCCACCTATCAAATTTATGTTCATCCAGTTTAGAGACAAGGAAAAAAACCCAAAGAGTTTGAATCTGAAAGGAAAAATTTAAAAATAATATTTTGAACTTCAAAACTATTATTTTACTTTTACATTTCCTGTTAATGTTAGCAGTGAGGATATCACTTTTTGAAAACGGCCAAGTCTAAAGGAATTTTTCATCTCTTGACAATTTTTGCTACATCTGGAAAGGTGTTTTGTTTTTTTTTTTCCCTTGAGGATTTTGGTTAGTAGGAAAGTCAATTTCTTTTCAAGTATGTTCCGATACTGCATTAAAGCAATTTTGGAAATAGCAAAATTCTCTGGAAAGGGCAGTTCTGGTTCCCATCAACTCCCGTATTGATAAATTTTGCAATCTATTGCTTAGGAGAAGGGGGAGCTGTCATTTTAACTCGACGTTCAGTGGTCTGACCACAGTAGCCGAACATAAGCTATAAGTAGCAATTCTGAATTTTTTGAAGGGGATGAATAAATAAATAAAGCTAGAGAACTGGTCTAAAGGAGGAGATGCTGAGAAGGGAAGGATGGAGTGGGGATGGGATCCAAATATGAAGTCACTCTCCAAGTCCATCTCTCCAAGGGAAACAGAGCGCTCCAGGGAAGGCAGAATTTTCCCAGCTGTGTTCTGTCTCTGAAGAAAAGGTCTGCCTGGCCAGTGGAATGGTTTGCAGGATGTCTCAAGCGTCTCTGTTCTAGCTGTGAGGAGGGTTGGTAGTCAGCAAACAGAAGTCCATTGCCATGAGTACATCTGCCCTTGGTAGTGCTGGACTAGAGGGGGGGCACTAAAGCAGGCTCATCTATGATAGAAAATGAGCAGTTACCTTTGCGTGGCCCAGAGATGCTGGATAAAGGGGCAGCGTTGTCCCTCTCCTATATCCTGCATGAGAGGCCTCTGCTTGAGCTCACCAACTGAGCCATTCTAAGGTGGAAGCTCCTCTTGCTCTTTCCCCTTGTTTTTGATCACATCTGGGCTCTCTGCTGCAGCTCTTCCTTTTAAATTTCTCTTCTTGCCCTGCAGTGCTTGCTCAAGCACTACTCTGCCTTCCTGTGCTAAGCCATGGTGCTTACGTTCCCTGTGCTGCTTTGAATCTGCCCTGCTTTAGCTTCTTGGTTGTCTCTCTTCTGCTCTCTAGACTGGCTTCTCCATGGAGCACACAGCTAAACTCTTCCCTATTTTTGTGCAGGGCAGAAGGAGCAGTCAATGAAAAATGAAGCAAGGAAAGCAGCACACTTAACAGGTATGTGCTAAGGGGCCAGCAAAATGTGGGAGCACGGAATAGGGCAGACATGGCTGGGGTGAGGGGGTGACATAGTCATAGCTGTGAGGAGCACAGCTCACTCAGGCTTTCCTGCTTTTCTTTGGTAAGATGCACTCTGACATTGGGAAGTTACTCCACAGCTAAAATTTTCCCCTTGTTTAGGCTTTTCAATGAGGGCTCTGTCTTTGGTTTGCATCTGGGGTGTGCAGGGCAGAAGGCTGTCGGAAGCAGCTGAGGGAGATGAAGGTGAGAGCTTCCACCAGCCTGAAGTGAGGACAGGCTTTCCATGCTGCAGACAAGGGCTTGGAGAACAGCTGACTTGTTGTGACTTGGGGTGTCACTTGAGAAAAAATCACACAACTGCTTGTGCTTACTGCACTTTTTATCTTGTTCTGGCTCCCAGGAAACCCGGACCAGCGAGACCTCCCTCTGGATTGGGAACCCATCTCTGGCCATGCCTTCACCAACGGCATTCAGTACCGTGATCAGGGCCTCATCATCAATGAGACTGGTCTGTACTTTGTATATTCCAACGTGCTCTTTCGAGGCAGTGTCTGCACCAGCCAGGTGTTGACCCACAGCGTCTACAAGAAAAACCCAGCCTTGCTTGGTAGCCATGTGCTGATGGAGGACAAGGGCATCAACTACTGTACAGGTCAGAAAACATGGGCCCGGAAAAGCTACCTGGGGGCTTTATTCAAGCTCAGGAAGATGGACAGTTTGCATGTCAATGTCTCCAAAATCTCTCTGATTAATTTTGAGGAATCCAAGACATTCTTTGGCTTATTTAAGCTTTGAATGAGGCTGTTGGAGCATGGCCAGCAGCCCATGAGACACACTCAAATATGCGTGAGTGGTGAGTGCTGCCTGAGTGGCAGTGGCAAAGCCAGGGTCTTGCCCCATGAAGTTCTCCAGGAAACCATGTTTTGGTCTTCAGCATGAGAAGCCTCAAGCAACTGGTAAAGGTTTGGAAGTAGACCTCTCAGAAGCACCAGGGCTGTACTACACCAACCTGAAGAGAATCACACATTTTCCCCTCTGGAAAAAAAAAAAAGCAACCCAACAACAAACTCAAAATGTAGTGTCCTGAAAACACCACTGAAACTAGTTACTTGCTACCTGAGAAGATGCTGGTGCCAGCAGCCCCACATGGTGCCATGGCCTTGGTGAGCTTGAGCAGCAGGCAGGCAGCGTGGAGGCCCCTAAAGCTTTGTCTGCAGGTGCCTGGGCTGTGCCATGCCATGGCACACCGCAGGTGGTGGTGTGAGAACAAGTAGTGCAGAGGTCTCTCTACCCATCTCAAGCTATGACTAAGCACCCTGCCTGGGCACTCAGCACTGTGACTGATGTACAACAGGCACCTGCCTGCTAGCCGGCTACTTTGGTGCCATCAGTACATTTTGTGTTGTTGACTGTGCCCATCTCAGAAAATGTTCCCCAACCCCTTTATTTAACTCGTGCCCACTGCCTTGCAAGGAATGTGCCAAAGCAGCAGGGCCATGAGGGGGATCCCAACCCTGGAGAGAAAATATGACTGTTCTGTGTTGAAGGGGCTGGTGGGGAGGCCACATGCTCCACTGACAGAACCTAAACAACATAGTGGTGGAGAGCGATGGGGCCCAAGATGAAAGCAGCATCTCCAGCCCCCTTTCTGTCTTTTCAAAGCATCAGGGTCCCCCATGGGAAACTGGTTCTGTCACCCTCTGTATGGTGCAGGTGGGGTGGCATGCTGGCCACCATAAACAGTATGGCTATGGCTGGCCCCCTTATCAGGGGATATTCTCTCCTGAATAAAACACATCTGGTAAATAAAGGTATATTTTTCTAGTAAGTGACACTGTTCTCCCCTCATTTGGGCAGCAGGCTTCTGCAGTGACCCAAAGTCCTGAAGGTCTCTATGATCAACAGCGATTTGGGAGCTTGATCCCAGTTTGCTGCTTGCTTCGCAGGGCACAGTGTCCCTGCTATGGAGCTTTGGGGTTCCAGCATCGAAACATCAGGATTTGGGAACCAGGGAGGTGTGATGTGGGTAGCACAGACCAGACAGCCCAAGCCCAGTTTGGCCATCAGGAAGGTGACTGATCTCACAACACAGGCTTCAGCTTGAGTAGAGCCAGACACTTGTTGCGGAGCAGAAGTTCTGCCATCCCCAAAGGCATCATACTCCTCTGTGTGCCCCCTGGCCCTAGCACATGGCCCTTCTGATGTGGAAGTCTGAAGGTCAAGGAAAGGAAGGGGTGCTTTGGTGTTAAAAGCCCCTTATTTGCTCACTCTGGTTTCTGATTCATGAGCTCTTCCCTGCATGTGTTAACCCCAAGGCTATCTGCCACCTGTCCACCAGGCAGTACACAAAGGCGCATCATCTTTGTGGTCCAAAGTTCTCGAAACTCTGATGTTGGTCACAGCAAACAGTGGCTCTTCAGCAGCCTTTATTTCCTTTTCGGTGGTGCTGCTCTCAGCTCAGTGATGTGTGTCCTGTGGTTTGCTGTTTCTTGCTTCAGGGGAACTTATTTCTTTGAAACATGGAAGTAGACTAGCCACTAGTATGGCCAGTGTGAAGTGAACGCTGCATCTCTCTGCTCACACAAGTGTTGCTGCACTCAGATATTTCCACTGCATTTCTCAGGATAGAAAATCCCTCAGAAAGTCAAAGTTTAGGGACCTTTTTGTTTGAATTATGCTTTATTCTTGCTCCCATTCCCTCTAGTATCAGGGGGGCAAACCACATAGTGCAGGGACAGAGGCTTGGATCTAGACCCTGCCAGGAAAGGCTGGAAGTTGCTATCCTCTTCTGATTGCTGTTGGTGCTGTGTTGCTTTTCTAGTGACCGGGCATGCAAGTGAGGAGTAGGCATCTGTATGTACATGTGCCCTCAAACTTGCAGCTGTTTCTGTAGCAAAACTAGCCAAGCACATTGCATGCTTACTTTCTTTACTGGTGAGCAGCTTAGAGAGAGACAGTGGGTGCAGTGCCCAGGGGAATCTCACACAGATGGTACTGTCTCTGCTGGTACCATATTGGTGTGGGGCTGGAAAGATCCCAAAGATTTGTATAAATTGGCACACAGTAGCTCATCTAGGCTGTGAATGTAGTTAGCTCTGGGGCAGGATGCAGCAGTTGCTATTGCTGCACATCTGGGAGGGGCAGGGATCTGTTAGTCTTTTTATCTGAAATACTAAAGGCAATGCAGATCTGCATGTCTCAGGGGCAGTGACACAGTGCCACTCGTTTATATATAGTGACACTCATGTTATATATAGTGCTGGGATCTCCTAAGGTGGGCAGAGCTGGCTGATCCTGGCAGGATAAAGCTAGGTGCTGCCAGGCTTGCTCCTAAGTGAGAGAGCATCTGTGACTGTCTTGGGACAATAGCATGGCTGCAAGTAAGACACAGTGTTACTGCTTTGTGATCTCTTCCTCAAAGGTAGCTCTGAACTGCCCAGAGCAAATCCACTACTTAGCCTGCAGTCTCCAGCTAAAGATTCAAACTAAGGCTTGACAAGGTTCTACAATTTCAAACTGTATAGAGTCAATTTACAGGCTGCTTGTGCCTCAGTGGCTTTAGTAAAGACATCTGTTTAGCCAATGAACTGTAGTGATGTACTCATTGTTAACATTAACCACTTAATTGCTACTTAATGCTGCCATTATTAATAGCTCTTGGACTATATTTGGTATAGTAACCAAGGTGGTAAAAGGGACTGCTTTATAAGAAAGGAATGTGTGAATAGGGTCATTGCTACTTCTGCAGCAAAAACACAGTGGAAGCAAAGGGATGCTCAATGGGCTCTGAGAGACAGAGTATCAGCAGAGAGTGAGGCAGGACAAGCAATGAGAAGAGCTGGTGTGACAGTGGGTACTGCTGTGTGGTGGGTACCATTCCTCACAGAGCTGTTTGAGGTATCTGTTGAGACGGAAGGTGGTGTGCTGGCAAACAGCCCTGCCAGAGCCTGCTACAGCTCTGCTTTCCCCAGTGGAGAAATCCTGGTCAGAGAGGAAGAAATGTGCCCTGCCAGATATGGCTAGCATCCCTCATACCAATACTGCATATTGCATCCATGTGTCCTGACTCTTTACCAGTTCATGGTCAGTCCTGATGGGGAGGAAGGTAACTGGTACACAGCAAGGGCATGCAGGGCACCTGTAGTGTAAAAGCAAAGAACAGTTGCTGGTCTCCAGCACGTCCTCTGCATGTGCTGAGGCATCAGCGTGTCAGAGACAAGAAATGGAGCCACAGCATGGACTGGCTCTCAGCAGGCTTGCTCAGTTGCGTATCTTGGCTCAGAAACCTCACAGCTTGTTGTAGTTAGCTGGAACTCACACTGTTGAGGGGTGTTATGTGTGACTGTTTCTGTAGCCCTCTCCGGGAGAAGAGACGGCATGAGTAAGAATGAAAGAATTGATCTGTTTGAAGCCACTCAAATCCTGTGAGTTCAGACAACCACCTTCTATTTGATCTGACAAGTTTCACTGTTGCTTTGGGGTTGGCTTTTTTTTTTTGTGGTTGATTTTTTTCTTTCTTTCTTTCTTTATTTTTGTTACCTGAAGCCAGCCTTGGGCTTTCTAAGTTTCTGTTACAATGTCTTGTGGGGTTGCTTCTTCCAGTAAAGTTGTAAAGAGACGTAAAGACTGCCAAATTTTGACCCGTTTGGAAAGGAGCATTGTCTAGTGGTAAGAGAGGGGAGAAAAGGTGAAGGGAGTTAATTTAAATATTGCTGTTATTTTTCTGGCACTCTGACATGTGGGCATATTACATCATGGTTACAAAAGTGTCATTTTAGGCCTGACTAAGTGATTGAGGTTTAATGCAAACGAGAGGATAAGGTGAGTAAAGGGAGAGGAGGGGTTCTGATGCAAAGTGAGGCAAGTTATATGTGAATTTCTTGTTGATTTTAATTAAAAAAAAAAAAGAGAGAGAGTGAAAAGAAGAAAAACTTGGCAACTTCTTGCTGATTCATCTCTCAGGGTAATAGGGAGAATCAGATGCTCCATTCCCTGTACACGAGCGAAGCCCTGACATAGGAGATGTGGGACTGCAGGCTGTGGTGCAGGAGACTGCTGGCAGTGTCTGCAGTGGCATCTTCCACCAGACAAAGGTGTGAAGACATGCTCAGTTCCCTGGCCCCTGCCTTGGTGTGACCAGCAACGCCGCTTTAGGATCCTACCAGGAGGCAGTGCTCTGTCTGTTTACCTCTGCCAGGACATCAGCAGTCATACAAACAGGCACACAAGCTTTCTGTTGTGAAGTGTGATGGTTTTCTTTTTTAAATAAACTGTTTTTTTTTCCTCTGGGTAGCAAACATAAAAAGCTGTAGGTGGAATAACAAACCCAGCAAGCTTTACCCTGCCTCAGTTGTTTCACCATTCCTCAGCACACTCCATATGATTCAGGGCACTCTACAAAGAATCAGCTTCTCTCCCTGACTTACAAACCATCATAGAGATGTTGCATCTCTTTTTCCCATACCACACAACCAGTTTCCTTCAAAAACAACTGAAAAAGTCTTCTTGTCCAGTTTCCTTTTGTTGATAGGGATTCCTTCAGTTCCCCTTTGCCAGGTCATTCCTAGGGAGTGAAAGGCTGCTGAGCAGCTAGTTCCTGGGATGTTCAGCTTGGAAATCTGCACAGGACAGGGGAGTAGCTGGACTTTTGAGCCATGTGAATGAATATCAAAACTGGACTCCGTGCTCTCCTGAGCCCTGTGCTGGGGACATGCATTTCTCCTGGTGCTGCTGTTGAGGTTTATGTCAACACAGAGGCAAAAGATTTCAGGAAAAAGGACATGTGAGAGATACATTTGTCTCTCTTAATTGCAACAGTCTACAGGCTACTTGTTCATGCTGGAGATGCGGTGAACATGAAATTCCCTAAGCAGGGGGCAATCTGTTTATAGCTGGTGCAATTCTCAGCTACCATGGGGTCAACCAAAACACTGGCACAAGCTGCCCAGTCTCAGCACAAGCTTTGTAGGACATGCTTACAGAGCGGCTGGCTACCATTCTATTTATCTGTACTCCTTGCTAAGGTTTTTGCATGGGGAACAGCTATTCAAAATTTGTCTTTCATTAAAGTCCTGAAAGAGAAATCCAGACCATGGAAAATGGGAAATACTTTAGCAACAAAAAAGGATGGACGTCATTTGCTCTAATTCCCTGCTCAGATTGGACAGGAAAGGACCAGGAGAAATTCAGCATATTCAGGAGACAAATCCCATTGTTGCACTTGGTTTGAGTGGGGGCAGGTTGGCTGGATAGTTGTTATTAAATAAGCAGCAAATGTGTGCTGTTGCAGACTTTGTGATGCTCCTTGCTGTTATGCGATGCATGTCCTAGCCATGAGTGGTCCTGCCAGGCTGTGTGTGACTGTACATATGAACTGCTTTGCTGCTGAGAGAGAATTTAAGGTTTGCATGTGATAAGGAGTTATTGTGGCTTAGCCAGCTATTGTCTGTTAGCAGAGCTGTGGCCATAGCAAATGTGATATGTTGTCAGATCCTTTGAAGTTTGGGGGTGGAGGGGCATTTCTGCTTCCTGCTTGCAGCTGTGCTTGATTGTTTATCTGAGCTGCCAAGGACTTGAGTGAGGAGCTTTTGTGAGGGCTTCTCTGCCACCACAGTGTGCGAGTTTACAGCAAGAGTAAAGAATGACTGTTTTGAAGGTTTGCTTGAAACTCCCCACTCGCATCCTGTGGAAACCCTGCTTGCTGGGCTGGAGGATGTGCCTTAGGCAAGGCTGTTGAAGGAGAGAAGAAGGTGGTAATTTCTTGTTCCAGCTCAAACCACTCTCAGGTATTGTCTCCTTGCCCTTGAAATGTTTATTTTGTCATATCACATGTATTTTATTCTGCACAGGGGGGAAGTTCAGTGGCAAGACATGGTGTGATCCATCTGTCATGTCTATGCATCCACATTGCCAGTGGATCTAGTGTGCTCCCAGTCACAGAATAAACGTTTCAGACCTGGTAGGACCATCAGTTCTGTGCTACAAGAGATGTACCAGTGCTGCCCTGAGTGGTCCCTGATCCCAGAGTGCATATAGGAGAGGAATAGATACAGAGATGGTTCTCCAGTCTGGGGGAACCTATGCCTTAGTGCCTTCCCCAATATATATCAATGAAGGCTAGAGGCATCTAGTCTACTTAGGCTGTCAAGGAAAACCATGCCACAGAAGTCCCTTTCCTTTACTCTCATGCTGGAAATGCCACTAAGAAAAGCTTCTAGGTGCAGGTTGTAGCAGAAACCATCTTGTGGATCTCATAATTTCTACTGTGCTAGATCATCAGACAGGCTGAGAAGAGAAACAGAAAGCATGCAAGAGCCTGAAAATGGGCTTGGGACTTTGTACTGAGGGACAGGGGCAAACCTGTCCTGGCAGGGAACAGAGCACCAGCAGTATCCATTCCTGCTGGAACCAGGCTCTTTGCTGAGGGCTGATGGTGGCCACAGGCAGCACTGGGTACTGGGAGCTTCTGCCTCCATGTGCTGATTCCTCTCCCCCAGGCCTCAGGCTTGAAAAGTCTAACTATCATTTCAGCTAGAATCATTCCTCCCACCATCCTCATTTGTCTTCATGCAGACAAAGTAAACAAGTAAACAAAAATCCAGCCATATTGCTTGGAGGGAGCTGGAGGATACACTGAGGGGAATGAGATAAGAGAACATGGGGACACAGTGGCAAACATCCAGGCTGCCATGCTCAAGACCACTGTTTGGGCCTGCTGGGGATGAATGCAGAGCATACCAAAAGGAATACAACCACTGAATTCTTTGAAAAAAAATCATGAAAATGGCACTTCACAGCAGCACTTCCATTTCTCCGTGTTTCAGCTCATTGCCTGTAAACCACGCTTGGCACCTAACTTTATGGGAAACTGAAGAAAAGCTTGCTAACTTTTCCACAGTGTTCACATTTGGTTTATGACCAGCATCAAAACTGTGTAAGGAGATGGTGACACTGGTGAACCTCTGCCTTCCACCAGCCTGCAGTGAGGTCGAATCAGTACACCAAGCCCTCTGAAGAGAGAGAATAAGGCTACATGACTTTGCGACATGGCTTAGAGAAGAAATTGATGTTCATTGTCTTATATCATTGACTTTCCAGGAACTTCACTTAGACACCAAGTGTTGCTGCTTTTTCTTGTTAAGTTTTATCTCTTCTTTGTGACCAAATTGATCTCCTTTTTCTTGTGATTCTTTTCTAGTGACTTGTACCCTCTGCAAGTCTGCTTAACGGGGCTTTTGTTCTTAGGGTATGAAAACCTCTTGAGGAACCATTGAATTGTCTCTTAGCCGTATGCGTCACACAATTGGTTTGGAAATTCAGTCTCTCTTTATCTGCTTTTACTCCTCTCATTCTTTAATTTCCTCTGTGAAAAAAAAAAAAAAAAGAGAAAAAATTTGCCCCCCATAGACTTACTTCTTAAAAGTGCTATTTCCTGTGGTCTT